CTGGCGAAAACGTTTTGTTATATTTGACAGCCATAGCTAAATTACAAATTGTAATTATAATTATATAGATATATCTTAAAACGGCATAATCTTCTTTAAATTTGGTCAAAATAGAATATTGAATTAGGGTTGACCTGGGGTGTTATTTCGATTAGTAATCGGTAATCTTTGCACAATTAAATTTTCGTTAAGGAAGATGTAGAGGAAGTCGAGTGGTTTACGAATTTCAGTTTGAATTTTGGCTTACTATGTCAACAGTTCAACAACACCCCCCCCCCCCAAAAAAAAAAAAAACAACAACAAAAAAACAACATAAGCTTTATGGATAGAACTTAAACATTTTCTACAAAAATAGTGTGTCACCCAATAAAACAAATTTGCGCATAAAATTCAGTGACATTTTTGACACAAATGAAAGTGGACAGGTTTCATTTTCTTTTGAAGTAATAATAAATCGGGAACCTCAATAATAAATGCAAGTCGCTCAAAATAAAGTGTATGTATGATTGAACTGGGAATCCCGTACTCGGAATTGTAATACTACTTACAGCAGCGACATACGGTTATTCAAAAGATAAATAATTATAATATAGGTAAGAATTATAAAGGTCTAGGATAACAAACGTTGAATATACTTGCTGTATGAGTATAATGAAGAGAAACACCAGTGTTAAATATTTATATATTTATTGTATGAAAATGCAGGAATAAATTATAAAGATTGACAGCAGTGTCTTATTTCCTCAATATATTTCAAAAATATATTGAGGAAATAAATCACAGTTATTTGCAGTAGGTAATATTGTAGAAACAATCTACAATCGACAAAGATAATTTTAAATAATAATTTCAGTTTGTTAAAAATAATGGTGTGATTATAATGTAGGAAAAAACCGCAAGTGTCCACAGCTGTTATAGTTAAATATAATTTTGGTAAGTTAATTAATGTGTAATTATTAATTTAGATAACATTTTAGGCCTAAAGAAAAACCTGCAATAGGCAGACGCGCTAAATATTCTGAAATAAAATCATAATATACTTACCTCGCCTGTATTTCATAAAAATAAAAACATAAAAGTGAACCAGCAATTAATCCGTTTATAACATTTGCCATCATTTACTTTGTTTCATTGCAACCTTCAATTAATAAATCGTACTTCAATCAGTTCAGAGGAAGTAAATAAAGATATATGTACTGCTATCATATAACCTTCCTGTGTGTGACAGAATTCTAGAAATTTGAAAGACCGGATATTGACTAAGCACACTTATAGGGTGAAATCCCACTTAACGGAGAACTCAGTATTACGAGCAAACACACGTATACGTCCACATATTAAAATTATTTAATTTTGTTTATATAAAAGAAATTAGCACATAAAATTCAATTAAATTTTTGACACAAATGAAAGAGGACAGGTTACATTATAATCAAACATAATAAGCTTAAACGTTTATGCGTGTTACGCTCAGAGAAAATGATCTATTAAACAAAATAAAATGAAAGAACAAGGGAGAAATTTTAAATAGGTCAGGAATGCAATAAACTACACCCTCTATGATATATATTAACATTTTCCCCGTAATTATCAATGTATTATGAATTATGGAATATAATGAACTTATGCAATTAGCGATGGAATAGAAGCTTTGTCTTAAATTTTACATACTAGTGAAGTCGAATATCTCCGACGCAACTGTATTTTCTATAAATTTATAAAACGATAGTTCAGTTATCATGGTGTTAAAAGAACATGTATTGAGAATGGAATATGACTCATAGTCATACTCTAGTCCCGACATCTCGGGGAACACTCGGCAAACCTCAACAGATTCCAGTACCCTACATCTAATCTCGGCTGTATGACCAAGTCCGCCATTAGAACTACTTTCAAGTTCCCGGATTACAATGGCGTTGTCCATGACGACCAATGATGTCATTGATGACGACGTATTTGAAGAATGTTTTATCTTACAAAATTTTCAAAGTTTGAAGCTGTTTTTCTTTCAAGTTTATCCGATTTTCTTTAAACAATGACGAATTTGCACTGAAAATTCTACATACTCTTCGAACGACGCAATTTTGAGAACTTCTTTCTAAACGCGGGCATGTTCCCTTATAAGTAAACCGGTGCCGCATCGCAAATGTATAGGCGTAGGTACATATCACTTACTGTCACACAGCCGAGGCTAGATGTAGGATACCGGAATCTGCCGAGGTTTGCCGAGTGCTCGGGGAACTGTCCGAAAAGCATGTCGTTTCACACAGTACAACATCGACAATGACAGCGGGGCTCGGGGCCTAGTTGGGCCCCCAAACACCCCTAAGTCGGGGACCTCCACAATAAATGCCAGTCGCTCAAAATAAAGTGAATGTAGGATTGAACTGGCGTTAACAAGGGTGATAAATCGGCAATGGAACGTCGAAAACCCAGAGTTCTTTCCATCATGACCAATATGCGTCACACCTAATTTGAAAATATTCGTTTTAATCTGTAGCCCCTAACATGTTAACAAGGTTTTCAGAAAAGGGGTGGTGGTAACGGAAGGTCGTGAATCGCTGAATGTTAAAGGACAATATTGGTGTCAGTCATTATCACATATGTGATAGAACTAATTAAACACGTTCCAAATACAATTTTACACAGTATAATTGCTACGATAGCTGAGTAATACAGGTTTCCTGAATCGGAAGTGACGAACGCCAAATGAAAAAACGAGTCATCCCTCTATATAACTGACTGAAGAGACGAGTGATAACAGATACATGGGCGAATTTCTGCTCACTAATAATTACTTCCAAGACGAAAAGTTGTTGTGTGAGACTGTGAGAGGATATCTGACAATTCATAAAAAGAATTGACTGCCACTAGATAAGAGAACACGAAAAACCCCCAGAAAAAGTCCGTGCAGTACCATGTTTTTATAATGTATGGAATGAATATAAACAAGGGAATGTGCGGACTATTTTTCTCGTGTTCTCTTATCTAATGACATTCAATTACTTAATTTTCAGGTATCCTCTTACAGTCCCATATAACAACTTTTGGTCTTCGAAGGGATTATTAGTGAGCAGAAATTCGGCCGTGTATCTGTTATCACTGTCACATCAGTCAGTTATATAGCGGGATGACTCGTGTTTTCCTTTGGCGTTCGTCACTTCCGATTCAGGAAACCTGTATTACTCAGCTGTCGTAGCAATGATCTCTGTGTTAAAATTATATTTGGAATGTGTTTAACCAGCTCTTTCACATATGTGATAATGACTTGCACCAATATTGTCCTTTAATAGGGTTCATCCGATCACTACCCCAATGCTCTACACATTAAACAATACAACCTCTATCGTGTTATTGAGCCAAATGTTGATGAATGAAGGAGCGACAGACATAGGTGACGACATAATACACCTTCTCTGAAATGTTGGCGTGTAAAAACAACTACAAAACACAAATTCTTTAGAAAGACATTCTTCGGTGTTGACACAACTCGCCAGAGCTAGGGTTACTATAGTTAAAAGTTCGACCGCTTGACACACCGAATACTGTTTTAGTTAAAAACAAATCTAACTAAGATTTCTTGACTATTCTATGAAACTGTGAAATATTCTACTTCAAGCATAATCCCGCTTAAACATACATTATGCGAGAGCTAAATCTGGTTATTGCAGGTCTTTCTTTAGGCCTGAAATGTTATCTAAATTATTAATTAGACATTAATTAACCTATCCAGGACATAATCAACTCTAGATGGCAGCGCTAGCCTGCGATCTTTAATGGATTGTGAGCCGATTTACTGCATTACTTTCCTTCTCGATTTAACGACTAAATAGACTGTAATGAAATGAAATGAAATGAAATGGAGTTTAATGTCCTACTTTTCTGCTCCTAACCTGGGCTAATGAAGACGGGCATACGTCATATAGTGTGCTATAAGGGAAATTTTGCCCGGAAATCGGCACTACGGCCTACTCATATATCGAATTCCAACTGCCAAGGGATCTTTTACGTGCACGCCAATGTGTACACGGGACCTCGGTTTTTCGTCCCATCCGAACGACTAGACAGCTTTCCTTGTCAGCCTCTCCGTCCTGCATCACTGACAAGGGAGAACCACGCCGGAAAATCTGGATGAACTTTCTCGTCCAATGCAGGGATCGAACACCCGACCTCCAGGCTTGCGAAATTTCAGTCGCTTAGTTCTCGGTTCATAGTGGATCAATTTGAATGAAATTTTCAGCAAATTGCCTTTACATTATCTAGTGTTTAACTATTATAGTGAGAACTGCCAACTCGTTACCGAATCTCCCATAATGTATCTTTAATATACATAGTTTAGTTAACAATTTCGGCAGTTTGATCTGCTCATGGAAGAAACTACTCCCGCTTTATACCCAGTAGATTACTAGTATGGGCTTTAATACCTCTTGAAACATTCTAGAAAAAGGATTACACATTATTTATATATATATTTATTTGATTATTTGGTGCAAAGTCTATTTTCTGTCTTGTCCGCAGGTTTATCTTGTAGATTTTTGTTTTACGTGTAGTGCGGTCCTCCTGCACTTACTATTATAGACACCACGTGGACTATATGTTCTTAACTACTCTAGGAAGAGACACCAAACGCTTGAAACCCGGTGGACCACCGCAGAACTATTCCAGACCGCCTCTAATTAGATAGGAAATAATAACCGTCACTGTTTAATATATCTAATCATAGTATAGGAATACTATTTACAGCAGCCAATATTTGGGTTATTCAGGAAAACTCTAATTATAATACAGGAAATATTTATAAATATCTACGATAACCAACGTTGAATATACTTGCTGTACAAGTATAATGACGAGAAACACCATGCATATCTACAAAATTGTTATATATTTATATATATCTATTGTATGAAAATGTAGGAATAAAATAAAAAGACTGGCAGCAGTGTGTTAAATACATTTTTAAAATATATTGAGGAAACGTATCACAGTTATTTGCAGTAGGTAATATTGTAGAAACTATCTACAAAGATAATTTTAAATAATAATTTCAGTTTGTTAAAGTACAATGGTATGATTATAATGTAGGAAAAGACCGCAGGGGTCCACAGCTGTTATTGTTAAATATATTCTTGGTAACTTCGATATATCAGGCATTTCAATGGTAATGGAAGCAACTTTTGTCTCTTGCCATTGTATAACGTCCGCTCCTCCTAGCGAAGTTCCTAAACTGACTTCATAATACAGGTTCTTCCATGGGGACGTAAATAAATCTCTCCATGACATTTCCATTGATTTCCCATCAAATGATCTGGCAATTAGTAATTTTGAACCCGCTGAAATACGTAGAATAGTAATAATAGTATCATTATTCATTTAGAATATATCATTCAATATTCACCAGTAGTCACACTGCACAGTCCAATCCAATAAGATTAAGAAAATGAGCATATTTCTAAAAACAGGGCCAAAACAAAGTTCATCAGGTTAAATGCCCTATCGTTGAAAATTTACAGCTCCATAGTTGACCTAAAGTGTTTTGAGTTCATCTGGTTAAATGCGCTATTTTGCAAATTTACAGAAGCATGGTTGCCCTAACTCCACATCGAAATTAAAGATACCTCAAACTGAATCCAATTTCTGACATAATCCAATAAAAAAGTAAAGACTTTTGTTACACTCGAATAATATTACACATCGTATATCAAATTTGAATTTTTTTTTACTGGCAGAATGATTTATACAAACCTTGTAAAATAGGTGGTTGTGCTACAGATGATATTACTGTTGATATAGAATTGTCTTGCTTTCCTAATACACTAATGGTAGATACACTAACATTATAGTTAGAGTTAGGTTGTAGTGATAAACTTCTTAATTTAGCCTGGTTATAACTAATCTCTGTAACTCGAACTTCTTTATCTAAATTATAACCTGGACCATACACCGATACCTGGTAATAAAATACATAAATCTAATATGTACTTGTAATAACCAATATAAGCCGTGTAAAGATGACATGTCTCATATTTGGCTTAAGTTTATTTTAAACGGTTTCCTCCCAGTCAGAGGGGTTATTCTAAACTGAAACACTAAATTATTGTATTATGAACCAGCGGCTGCCAGGCAGGATACGCCCACATTTTCGAGAGATGGATAGAGAACAAGCTAAGAAGAAAGTGATTTTTCCGACAATCTAGGGCCATAATTCAGGAAATTACAATTCGATATGCGCAAATATCGAAATAAATCGAGATCTTTGTGTTATAAACTTACATTTCAAGTTTCAACAAAATCGGATAAAAATTGTGACTTCTATTGGGTCCACAACTTTGATATACCCTATTTTTACGCTATTTGAGAACGATTGCGGCCATTTTATCTGTCAGTTTTGGGCTGATTTTCACGGAATTCGAACTCAGTTGGCCTTAGGGTGTAACGGTGATATAATAATACAGTTTTTTAAATCGGATAAAAATTATGACCTCTATAGGGTCCAGAAGCTAAAAACTCGATTTTTCATACAATGAGGGGCCATAATTCAGGAAGTTACGGTCCGATAGGCGCGAATATCGACAGAAACCAAGATCTTTGGGTTATAAACTTACATTTCAAGTTTTAACAAAATCGGATTAAAATTGTGACCTCCATAGGGTCCACAACCTTGATATACCATATTTTTACGCTATTTGAGAACGAAGGGCGACCATTTTGTCTGTCAGTTTTGGGCCGATTTTCACGAAATTCGAACTCAGCCATCCTTAGGGTGTAACAGTGATAAAAAAATACGTTCTGTTAAATCGGATAAAAATTATGACCTCTATAGGGTCCACAAGCTAAAAACGCGTATTTTCGTACAATCAGGGGCCATAATTCAGGAAGTTACGATCCGATATGCGCAAATATCAACAGGAACCGAGATCTTTGGGTTATAAGCATACATTTCAAGTGTCAACAAAATCGGATAAAAATTGTGACCTCTACAGTGTTCACAAGGTAAAAACATGATTTTTCGTACAATCAGGGGCCATAATCCATGAAGTTACGGTCCGATACATGCCAATATCGAAAGGAACCGAGATCTTAGGGTGATAAACCTATATTTCAAGTTTCATTAGAATCAGATAAAAATTGTGACCTGTAGACTGTTCACAAACAATTGTGGACGGACGGACGGACAGGGGCGACGACAATATACGTCCACATGAAAATGTGGGCGTATAAAAAGACACTGTTAATTCTAGGCGCTCAAATGTGCACAGATAAGTGTTAAAAGTCCACTTATCTGGAATTTCTCCTTTTCTTAAAATATATATACCTGTATAGACTTGGTATCAATTCTGGTATTTTCTAAATCCCATTTTAATCGTAAACTATCAGTCAATGGATAACAATCATCCTCACCGAATATGCGGATACTCCATCTTCATCAATGGCGATCTGACCGTCTGCTATGGCAGCCATTTTGATTATAACCAGAACGCCATCGGTAGTAGCTGTAGTTGGTAAACCAGCTTTATTATAACATCTTACAGTAGAATAAACTTGTTTAGAGTTCTGTATTTGATTAACACTGAGTTCAACTTGAACAAATGATTGTTTATCTGGTACAGGAGTAAATGGCTGTATATCAACACCGCCGTGCCTTGAACCTTGTATATAAAACATTAATTGATAAATGTATACACGTGTGAATAATCAAATAACCTACATGTAGTCTAGTTGATACAAGTAATAGATGGAATGTTGCAGAAATTAACAATAATTACAATCAACATTCGACCTTTGTTACATAGATATACGCCATTCGTTGCATGTTGTAAAGCAAAATTAACTTGGGTTTAACATCCTACTGTTCTGCACTGGCTGGGCTAATAAAGACGGTATTCGCCAAAAGGTCTACTACGAGGGGATCTTGCCTATAACCGATTAACAAATTACGTTATTACAACGTTGAAAATTGTAAAGTATTACCTATAGCCCAATGACAATATTCTACTCCTGATTCTGGATCTCCTACTTTCCAATTAACTGATATAAGTTTGGTTAGCTGGAAATTTACATCATTCTCTAAAATGATCAAAACATATTTAATTCAACAAAAGAGAAAGCCAAGTTAATGTATTAAACAAGAAACAATTTTTGGGGCTATCGAGATTATGCGAATTCTGTTTTCATCCGTTATGTGGGTTTGATACGAACCAAAGATTAAACCTTCGACAATGTTGGTTTAATAAACAGTACAATCCTGCCAAGTAATTACCAAGTTTCAACCCTGAACTTGGTGTTGATAACCATTCTGAATAGATTTTATTTAAATAGCCGATTTTTCATTGTGGTGGTCAATAATATTTTTCCATTAAAGTACCTCAGAATAATCATTTAATTTCTTACCTATACCATCGTTTATCTCTGATATTATTGGCGGAGTCATATCGACAACAATACTCTCTGATTGGCTGACAGTTGTCAGTCCGACGCCATTGGTTGACATCACAGTCAGATAAAGTAGTGTATTATGGGCTAATTTTAGACCGGATGCTGTAGCTTGTTGATTTCTGCCAACACTTGTGAACGCCCGAATCTGGGTTCCACCTTGCACAGTTCCTGAAATTAATATAATTGCTAATTGAAAACCGTTGCCAAAACAGTAAACGATTTGCTATAACTAAATACCTACATGATTTAAACACTATTGTATTACTTAATTATAGTCACTGATATATTTACATATAGTAGTACATGTATTCAAACTACTCACCTAGTGCCCATTGATAATCTGTAATAGGACTTTGATCATCTTTAAAATGCCAGGTAAGATGAAGAGATGACCAATAAGGTCTAAACACTGTATGATGTATTAAATGATTAGAGTCACTTGTTATATCTATATAATTAACTTGTTGTACATATACATCATCATATGTAATTTACTTGTACCAATTCTTATCACTTCTCTTGCTTCTCTTGGATGGAATACATAAGTAAATTTATTCCATAATATTAATGGCTGTTGGTCGATGTCACATATCCCCTGACATCGTTCTGGGTCAAGGCTGAAAGTGTGAATTTCTTGTCCGAATTGCACGAAACCTTCCACGTTGTCATGCTGAATGCTAACATCATGTGGATATCCAACATGTATTATAACATGGTAAGCACTTTGGGTGTTTAAATCAAAAACTGTTTGTTGAATATGACTTTTCACTTTAATATTGGCTCCACCCTCTTTTGAAACGGAAGGTGGTGATTGGATGATTTTAATACACGAGGTGGAGTCAATATACCAAGGAGCTGGTGGTTGGTCATCACATTCCTTATTTGATTCTGTCACGCCTTCTTCAAATGATGGATTGGCGATGAGATTTTCTCCAATATAATCTATATCAACCGGTACTGGGGGCGTGGTATCAATTGTAGTACCATCAGACACTGCTACATCAGATTTTAACCCACTCCCATCTACAGCATACACTTTATTATAAATTTTCATACCTATAAAAATAAAATAGAAATGTCGTATTTGTTATAGTGACAATAGATCACATTTGGAAACAAAAAATTCAGAAACCCATTTATTTTGCAAGAGATGGCGTGAGGCGTTATGGGGTGGCCTTGAGGTATATTATATTTGAGCAGACTCTTTCCCCAGACAGTTAATGAGATATCTTGTCCACTATACTACAATAGAGGACCAGTATCGCGCGTGTCTAGGCAAGACGAAAATATGACGAGTGATATATCCCTACTGTAGTATATATAATGTCACGATAATGAAAGGATTTTTATTTAATCATTTCAATCTATATCTGGTGGAAATTGAGATTTTATTCAATTAATATGGAAACTTTAGAATGCCTACCATGATTTAAAGGTGAGGTTAGGTTTACAGACACTCTAGTATTTAATCCTACATTCTTCCAGTCGTGTATATTACAATCTGTAGTACTAATATCAGTACCAATACACCAGTAATATTTCACTATACCAGTACCACTATCAGTAAAACCATACCATGATGAGGATATAACTGTTGTAGAGTATTGGTAATCTTTATCATAGATATCTGTAAAATTTGAATTAATAAGAGACCATATCCGCCAATTTATCATGGTTGTTTATAAAAAGCTGGAAATTTCTTTGCGAAATATGAAAATACGTACCAGATTTTAAAAAATTAAAATCGGCTAAATAAGTATAATGTGCCCCCCCCCCCCCACACACACGCACACACACACACACGCACCTCCCCCCCCCCCCCCCAAAAAAAAAAACGAAAACAAAACCAAAACAAAAGCAACAGAACCGACAAATTGTAATTCTTCTACTTGGAAAGATCACGACTTTTATGCAAAGCGACAAAGATAACTGAAACTTTGGAGAATGATCGTACACAGAATTAGTTCAAGTAATTGGCGGGGGGGGGGGGGTACCCTATATTCAATAATTTCAATAGATCACTTACCATTAAGTTATCAGTGTTTGCGGTTTTGCTAAGAATAGAGTGGTCTCGAATTTTATTGCTGGCATTGTTACGATAATAAACAATGTCTCGATTATCGTACTTCAAATTATCATATTCAGATTATCTAGGTGGTTGAATACAGGCTTTTCATGTGAATAAATGCATTTAAGGCCCCCGGAAAGATTTGCAATAGCACGATTTAACTGTTATATAATATACTCTTAAAAAATAGGGGATATTGAAATGCAAATACCTATGCAGGCCGTGATATGATTGATAAATAGTCATAGACACTTGACATGCTTTGAGAGTATGTTCACAGATGAAGAACTTATCGCCCCAACAGAACCACTGAGCTGCACATGCGACACGCAATAGCGCGATACACGTGGGAGGGGTTCATTGACAAAGGGTTGATAAAAACTACCGCGTGCTGGTTTATCTATCCATGTTTGCTTTCCTATGGGTTCTTGCATAAGATTTACTGTTTAGTACATCACGTTTAATTTGATCGGGAGACGTCAACCGACAACACTGCAAGAATTGGCCGTGGCACTGCCAGAGGAGTGGGACAGATTGTCCCAAATCGTGATTGGACGGTTGATTAGGATCATGCCACGACGAATTGCTGAATGTCTGAGGATTGGTGGAGCAATTACTCATTATTAAGACAAAAATCAAAAACGTCTATATTCACTTTTGACGGTGTATCTCTTTGCGAGTGAAATGGGGCCGTCAGGTAAGCTGCCCATATGAACTGTTTATGTTCATGTGTAGGCTATCGGCCTGTTATTAACATACACTGGTTACCTCTAATAAAAACAGCAGTGCATTTCCGCAGTTTTGTATTGTTTCTGAATATCCCCTACTTTTTTGAAGAGTATAGATCTTTAAGACTTATTATACTAGATAATGAGATTGGGCGGGGCCGATTAAAAAATGTCCTAAAAATGTTTCCGTTAAGCATTCTGGTTAGAAAATGTTATTCAATGTAATAATGTTAGTATTAAAACCCACCTTGCGGATGTGTGCTTATGTAAGGCTTAAAATAATCGAATCCATGAATTCCTCCTCTAAATTTATTCTTCCAACCAACAATAATCTGATTGCTGGATGTTTGGTAATCTATATCGTTAACACTTGATATAGTTTCTAATTCTTTTATCTGGATAAAAAATAGAGAAAAATGTAATATCACAAAATCAAATAAATAGTTCTATTTAAAATAGATTATCAAAACGGGAAAACATTAGTCGATATAATTAAATAGTTTGGTGTCTTTAACTTATTTCTATCTACTTACAGCAGCTCCCGCTATGTGATTGACACTCGGAGCAGACGTCAGTGGTGTAATACCAGGAGACTTAAATACCGCATATTGATTTGTATTATACCATACCCTCACAAATACACTATATGTTATAGACTTATCTAAAACTTTAGCTGGAATACATAAAATAGTATTGCGAAATTACATGTACTAGAAAAACAAGGGGACCTAAAGGACATCCCTGTGACACACATTTACAAGCAAGAAGATTTTTGTTTATAGAGCTTTATACGTATGTTTCGATGTTTATAGTTGAATGTATTGATAAGGTATCCTATTGTAACTGAGTGAAGTTTGTGTGCTTTGTTAATATTACATACTAATAAATATAAATTATTACTGATTGTTTCTTGAAAGAAATGAATAACAATTTTGAAAGGTATACCTGTAGGTACAGTAATTATAGTTTCGGTATTTTCACCAACATCAAACCATGTTCTTTCTGTATCAGTATCATATATTCCACTGGGGGAATTTTCACCGGAATGTCCGGCACTGCATTCATATCTACAATATCATATGCTGAGTTTGAATTCCTGGTAATTGCTATGTAGTTAATAATGAACCAAAATGGCCTTGGCAGGCTGAAGCTTAGGGCCTCAAGATCTAGTGGGCCTGCGGCAAAATTGTATGATATTTTTGCCACAACCACACGTCTTTTTTACACGCACTTTAGTCTTAAACATCCATCAGCATCGGGTTATTAAATAGGTTTAGTTTACCTTATAGACGAGAGACATTGTTGTTTTTTTAAAGGGGTTTAATTTACCTTATAGATGAGAGATATTGTTGGTTTATTAAAGATATTTAATTTATCTAAGTTTAATTTACCTTATAGGAGAGATACCTTGTAGGTTTATTATGCTCCATCTGGCAGCTAGAAAATTATTAGACGATGTGTAGTAAGTCTGTGCAGCATCAGATGACATCAAATTATTCATGTCAGTAACTTGGATAATGTTATTTGGATTCCCTGCAAGGATGATTATAAATAAGAAATGAATCACATGGCGGATAGCATAACAAATACAAAAACATAGAAAAATCAGGAATAGTGTGGCATATTAGATCTGAAATTATTTAAGGTAGACTAAACACAGTTAGCCATTACTGTGGCGAATGTGACGGTAAACATAGCAGAAAAGTTCACAAAGAATTAATTAAATAATATGAATAATTTTAATAAAGTTGATAGATATGTACCTGTTGAGATGTCACTACAGTTTTCAGCATCTGAACATGTTTTGTCTTGTGCAGCACAAACACAATGTCCAAGACAATTATACGGTTGACATCGCCTGACTAAATCTAACATTCCTCCTTCTACAAGTTCAAACTCAGAATGAGCAGGCTGACATTTTAATCCAACCTATGTCAAAAATAAAAGTGAGATGATATGTAACACAATAACACAATTAGAATTAAAACATATTCGTGGTTAATAGACACGGATGCTGAAGTGTCAATTTTGCCAAAGCCTGATACACCCGATTTAGATGTGTAATTTCTCATGTTCTACTGTAGTACATATGATATACTAGAAAATGATTAAATAGCAAATAATTACCCCGTTAACAGCCCATACAGATATGAAAACAGAATTGCCCATATGTAGTGTCTTGGTAGTTATTGTAACTGATTGTACCATTCCTTCGTCATTAAAATTATCTCCAGCCACATGTTGAAACGTGGTTTGTCGATCGCCCTGTTAAAATATTTTATCAGAAAGAATTTCGTGAAGTAAAGAAAATATGTCATATTACCTAAGCTTAATTGAGGATCGAAGCCATGCATTTTATTGGGGTGTTTGAATGCAGCAAATTTACTCCAAAATTGTATTATTCTCAAGAATACGAAATATTACCGTAATCAGAGATACTTACCTGGTTGAGATCAGTAAAGAAAGGTTTTGTTCCTACACTGACTTTATACTCGGTTATACCAGTATGCAGATCGGCAAATCCCAACCATGCTAACTTAATAGACGTAGTAGACCAGTGGTTCCAGTTATTCCTATCTCTGTTTAAGTTAGCGGCGTGGTCAGTATCAATAGCAAACATACCTGAAATAACATTCACAAAATATTTCATTGGAGAAGATGCGCAGTTTGTATGCTGGTAAAACTTTAATTCTTTATAATTATCAGATTACTTATTCATTTTCGAGTGGAAAACAAATAATAATAATAATAAATAATAATAAATTAAAATTGTCAGATTTCTAGTGCATTTAAATTTATTTAGATCGAGAATTAGTGATCAGATATCACGCACGTTGTTCAGATATATTGCAACCATAATCATAACCAAAACCATCCACAGAAAGAATACACGTACCTCTGGTAGGTGATGTAGAATCAACTGTTATATCATCTGTAACACTCGACTGACACAAACCAGCTAAATTACAACCAATCACTTTAACTTTATATTTACTACCGTCGTGTAGAACTAGACCAGAAAACGTAAACTCTGTTACCACACTAGGAATCTGAAACAAAAACAGTAATATAGTCTCTAAAATTAAAAGTATTCCAACTATACAATTAATTTTCACCGTTCATTAGTCGAACCCGTAATACGACTGCAATTTTAAAATAGTAATATATCCAACTATACAATTTTACCCCGGCACTGTCAATTGGACATCCTCGTATTGCCACTTTATTTTTCTTTTAATTACTGAATTCATTATAGGCATGCTATTTTCTGTTTCATTTTTTTAAAAAACAAAGTATGTTTAAAATTAATGTTAGGACTTACCTCCATATCCGAAAAACAAAACATGTTTAAAATTAATGTTAGGACGTACCTCCATAGCTGAAGAATTGAAATCTCCCAATAAATGAGGTGAAATAGAAATGTATTGTCTTTCTATATCTGATTCATCATCAGTAAACTTCCATTCAATTTTAATACTAGATTTTGATATGGTAGTTGAAGGTAAAATAGAACTAAACGTTGAGACAGGAACTGCCCTTTGTACCACTACTGGTAATGTTGTATCGATTTTAAAACCATTTGATGTAACTTCGCTATATAAACCTAATAATATAAAATCTAGGTACGGTGGTGGCTGTGAAATGCACAAATAATACAAACGATGATGATATAAATATAATAGAAATCCTATACAATTTTACAAAAGAAAGATGTCGATTCGTCTAAAGGACATGGCCCCCATGTTTCTATATTCTTGCCCACAAAGGAGTGATAACTCTAACCAATTTTAGAAAGGGGGAATAGTTCGTGAAGGACCCCTTTTACAAAAGAAAGATGTCGATTCGTCTCTTGTCCACAAAGGGGTGATAACTCTAACCAATTTTAGAAAGGGAGAATATGTCGTGTAGGACCCCTTTTACTACTTATACATCAACCGAGACGTCCCTAAAACCGGTTATAGCATATTTCGAATTTATACATTGGGCCCACAACAGCAATGCTTGTTCAAATACGATATAACTTATATTATTGTTTTTGTAAGTATCATTAGGGTCATTAAAATAATTTGAGTCATACCTGCTTTATTGTAACATCTAACAGTAATATAAATTCTAGTATCAGTAGGCAATAGTTTATTATCAGGTAAATTAGATTTATAGGTCAGTTCGACCACTGGTAAAATTTGAGGGCTAAGTAACTCTTCGCCTCCAATGGTTGTTCCTACTCTCCATTCATATCTCGCTATACCAGATTGTGCATCTTTAAACCCATGCCATTTGGCACCAACAAAGTTTCTGAAACCAGGATGATAATCCTTAAAAAGTTGCACATAACACATTATGTTAACTTATTCAGTAGTAGAATCTGATTCTGGACGATAATAATTGCAACACTCTTATATAACCCTATACTAGCTGCCGAGAACCGCTTTATGAATGTCAATCATCTAATTAAGATAGGTTGCCAGCTAAATCGCCCGGTCGACAAGGGTTGCATTACCGGAAATTATTCAAATTAAATAGGATTCTAAATATCAATAATGTATACATATAATATCAATTTTAAAACAATCAGATGATTAAAGGTAGTCTGTAGAGTGTTCAGAAGAAATTGTGAACGGACGGACGGGCGAGATGGCAATATACGACTACATCTCCATGTGGGCGTATAAAAATGGGTTATTGTTAAATGCCTTCTAAGACAATATCTACTGCAGCGGTCCCACAGCTGAGGAGACTCGATAACCGTGATCCAATCATATTCGTGGATCCTCATGTCTATTTTATAGTTTGCTCTGAAAACGGAAAACTAAACAGACTTGATAATCCTGTTTCAATTACCTGGTTGCTTGGAATTCTACATCTAAATCTTTCGTTCCATCTAAAACTCTTCCCACGTCCGGTGGTGTCACGTCAATTATTACACCATCAGAAATGGCCGACGTACACATGTCCGCCATATTGCACCCTGTTACCGTGGTGATATATTTTGTTCCAGGAGTCAATTTGGACGGTGGAAAGGTAAAATCTGAAATATGTATCGGTTTTAACATTTATAAGGACATATACCTAATTTATTTTAAAGAGAATAGCTTATATTTTTACAATAAAACTTAACTACTATCTGAAATATGTATCGGTTGTTAAAATTTATTAGAACACCTACCAAATTTATTTTAACGAAACTAGACCTTATTTTTACAATAAAACTTAACTACCTCTTCTTGGGAATATTTATTAATAGTTCTATGACAGATTGTAGTTTGTAATAATATTTTCCTTACGTGTAGATATTCCTGTTTTGATTTCTGGAATTATGTCATCACAATCATCACAGGTACCAACTTTAACAGTATAGTATTGCATTGATGAATGGGGATCATGGAATCCTTGCCATCTAACAGAAAGTGGTGATTCGTTAGTTATATAATCTACGTCATCTCCGGTATAGTTTGTATTAAGAATATCGATGACATGTCCTGTGGTAGGAGGAGTTGTGTCTACTGTCACTGGATGAGATATTAATGTAGTAGATAACCCTGCACCATTAATGGCCTGAAACATCACAATAGACAAGAGTTATTTTAAATTTGGTATATAGAATACAAAGATAAGAAGCATGTAGCATGAATTTGAAAACTTTTCTATTGGAAATTTCGTCAGTTATAGCAAACCGTCTAAAAGATTAGCATCAATTTCTTTGAAATAATAAAGGGATAAATAATAAAGCACAATGTAAATTGAAAACCATATGACCATTCTCTTGGTTTGTTCCCACTTTATCTACAGTTAGATCAACCATAATTCATTAAAGAGATATACCTGAACTGTGACGTAATAAACGTGTCCATCTTGTAATTTTTGTTCTAAATTCGCTTCATCACAATCATTATCTGTTATCATATATCCCCTAATGTTTTCATGACCTGGTCTAGTACCTATTGCCCACCGATACTGACTTATACCGCTTTCGGTGTCTTTAAATGATCCGCCCCAACTGTAAATAAATCATATAAAAGGGATGATGCACTTCAATTGTCAATAAATCAAATAAAATGGCACAGACACTTTAATACATTATTTACAAACATGTAGTGTGCTATGAGGGTGAACTTTCAACTGCCAAGGGATCTTATACATGGGATCGAAACCGAGGCATTCTGTTCTTTTACGTTTACAAGGAACTTAGATGTTTCATTACACCCAAAGGACTAGACCGTTCTTTGCCAGGCCACCCGTCTTAGCGAATGCGACGACCTTCTGAAATCGAAGTCCAAAGCATCAATTCATTTAGCTATAAATAATAAAAGGTATCGTGCACGTGTCGAGGTAGGCTTACTATTTCACGCCTTCAGAAACACTGGTTTTCAAATACTTTCGCTGGGGTTAATGGCTTCCATTGTGTTTTGTTTACTAACACTAGATTCTATATAAACATACCACGCAGACAATACATCATTTGACTGTATATATGTATTAGTAAATTGTATAGGTTTAGATGTAGTTTCTGGTGGACTATTATCAATTATGAAACCTTCTGATGAAACGGTTTTTGTTCTGTTTACAAAATCAATTGCTGAAAAAAAAAGAAAACAATATTAACACTTAACAAGCAATAGTGGCGCCAGCTTATGGAACCAACGGATAAAAGAAATGGGTGTATACTAACGAACGAGCAATTTTGCCAAGCGGGCAATTGAAAAACTGTAACCATACCGATATATAAATGATATTTTGATATTCCACTTGGATGAACAGTTTTTCCACCATTTTCTTCTACGTCAAGAAAGCTATCCCAGTAAACAGCTACATCAATGTCGGATGACTGAAATAATATATTGGTTATTCATATACAACTACCACTACAACTACGCAATAAAAATATATATATTTCTATACATTACGAATTGTATAATGGAAAAGGTAAGCTTAATCAAATACTAGAAACAACAGATAGCTATATAGCATATTGTCCGAGGATCGAACCATTATACCGAAACACTATTAATCGGGCTAACAGGGAATTACAAGGAATGAATGACATATCAAATCTTATATGTGTTCGAGTATACTGGGATCGCGACAACGGGATTCGACAATATTTATATAGAAATATTACTTGATATTTAAAATCTTTCAAGTTCTCCACCCAAACCCGACCACCATTTGGTGGAGTCAAATCAACAGTTACTCCATCACTACAAGCGTTTACTTCTTCCAAATCTTCCGTCCATTTTTCATAACCAGCGACAGCAGCATCAGCACGGATACAGATATAATACCGTCTTCCATGTTTTAAAATATTTGGATTTAATACATTGATGTATTCCTTTTCTGTGAAAAGAAATAAAAATAAATGCGGTGAAATTGAAGTCTTAATGATAACGTCAATGAAGTATCCTGCAAAGTGAGTGTTCTTTTTGTCGATCAATCAATCAATCCATCAATCAACACAGAATTTGTATAGTAGACAATTCCAGAGAAAGGTGCTGCAGAATGAAAAGATCGTTTAGTGTGTTCAAGTTTGATAGCAGGAATTACTAATAATGACTTGTTCTGTGATATTAGGGTTCTACTGGATTCATATGGAATGAGTAGATCTTTTATGCATTGTGGTGCTTAAATGTCGAGTGCTTTAAAATTCATTAACAGTATATTGAAAATGATTCGCCGATTTATGTGTTGCCAATGGAGGGTTATTAATGTTGGTTTAAAGCTGAACTCCGATTACAAAACTACAGAAATAATCAAATAAAAAACAATTTTACACCCTAAATAATCGCCATACTTGTTTTCAAGTTGTAGAAAAATCATGAACGATTGTACGGCGTACAAAAACAAGAGGCAGGCCACGCCCACACCCAGTTCATGCCTTGTCAACCACACTGTCCACATCCGGCTAGCAATATTTCAGCTGACTGATTGACGTTTTTTTCACTATCAGTTTACTGAAAATATTATTGCTAGACAATTATTATGTTTTGATCACGTACATATTATTTTACTAATTAGACAAAATAAGTAAACCACGGTGTACTTTTGCTCTAAAAAATATGAGAAAAACTGCCTTACGCTACCCCAAACAATAACAAATCTACCAACACAAACAATTTTTTTCTTATTTCTTGAAATGTTTTGTATAACAGCGTGGAAACACCAAATAATTTCTAGTATTATAAAGTCTAGTATTACCGTTCCAAAATATATCCAAAGCAGCAATAAAACTGTTGTTCTCTCCATCAAAGAAATATGTTTTCACCTCAAAATATTCACCATCTTGTGAAGTAGTTATGTCCCTTGATGTTATGTCAACTACATAGATTTGGTTGGTGTTGGTAGATTTTTAGAGGAAAAGTATACCGTGGTTTACTTATTTATTAGTAAAATAATATGTACCTGATCAGATATAATAATTAGGTAGCAATAATACTTTCAGTAAACGGTTAGTGAAAAAACGTCAATCAGTCAGCTGAAATATTGCTAGCCGGATGTGGACAGTGTGGCTGACAAGGCGTGAACTGGATGTGGGCGTGGCATGCCTCTTGTTTTTGTACGCCGTACAATTGTCCATGATTATTCTACAACTTGAAAACAAGTATGGCGATTATTTAGGGTGTTATTTTTTTTTATTTGATTATTTCTGTAGTTTTGTAATCGGAGTTCAGCTTTAATGTGATCCCTTTGCCTTGTTCCAGTGATGAGTCGAGCTGAAGCATTCTGAACATATTGGATTTTCTGCAGCTGCCGCTGTGGTAGACCACACAATAAAGCATTATGGTAGGCCAGCCTTGAAGAAGGGCGTAAGGAACTAGTGCAAGGAATCAATGGAATGAAGCCTATATGACATTTGAAGATGACCGAAACTCCCTCACCGGTTTGTCCACACTGTATAACATCTGGATGTGAACAAGGATCTCTTATCGTCATCTTCGGTCGAGTAAAATGTGTTACAATAGATAAGGCTTGATCTTCCAGTAAACCCCAAGTATAGTTTCTATGTCTTAATGTGGGCCACACAGCCGATATAATATTTTTATAAGGTGTATAGTCCACATCTGGTTTAGACCAGACTGCGTTCTGATCCAGAGAAATTGACGTTCCTAGTTCATTTGTGTTAGGATCTGAAATACAAAACAAACAACATCTTCAAATTCTTCAAACGCTACACATAAAAAGATGGAGACATCATAATCCATGGATCTTTCAAACCTCTCTACGTGTGCGTGTGTGTGTGTGGGTGTGCGTGCGTGTGTGTGTGGATGTGGGTGTGTATGTGTGTTGTTTTTTTTTTTGGGGGGGGGGGGCTTGCGCGCTTTTATTTCAATTCCAATTTACATGCAAAAAGTACTCACCGTTATTTAGTGGCTGTCCTATAGCATCTATAACGATAGCCGGTATAATTAATACTGGATCTACAGCTGAACAGTTTTTAATATCCGACGATATTATTGTTGATAAACCAGCTTTATTAAATATTCTTACAGCCAATCTTCTACATTCACTAAAATCAACTTCACCATCTAAATTAATGCTAAACTGAAACTAGGAAATAAAATAATTTTCAATGAAATAGTTTGTCTTTATGACACAATTTTGAAAACAGGTTCGCGTAGTTACATAGATATCCTGTTGAAATGAAATACCACACAAATGATTTTGCTTAAACGCAACCATTTTTATGGTGCCCACCACTTTTGCATACTATTCCTAAAAAAAACCCCGATACATTTTATAGTTGCTCATTGATAGCTTTGGGGACGGGACAACACCCCTAACACAGTTTCATTTTTTGTTCTTTCTTTTTATTGGTTTGCCTAAATTCTGTAATCAAAGTTACGTTTTAGGTCATTTTCATAATGTATACCGTTGTAACAGATTTATAAAAGCATGTAGACAATCTTAGAATTTAGACTCTTACCGTTGTCTCACTGATTCTCTGTACATTGTTTACTTTGCTCCATTTAGTAAATAAATGACTATTGTGTTTATTATCTGTTATACTCCACATATATTGATCTATGGTAGACTCCACAGAACACACTTTATCTTCGGTATTACTCTTGTAAGTCAAGCTTACATCTAACTGGAATATGGAATAAAAAATGAAATGACAACCGTATTATATTAAAACAAACTTTCATATCAGGTTACATTTAGTAGCTCATTGAAGGATTTTAGGTTCATACTGTGTTAATTGTATGGCTACCTCGTTAGGTTGCATGACGTCGTTGTGCTCATCAAGGTGTTGGTACAACGTTATATTAACGTTAAGTTGTTATCTGGGTGATTGTGTTAGCATTCGGCCAGCAACTATTACTATAGTGAGCTGCAAATTAAATATTTGATTATGCATAAATAGTAGACAGATACAAAGAAATCATTTTAATTAGTTGGATGATATTATTTATATTTGAATTACCTGGGAACCTTGCATCGTTTTGTGAAGTATATCTATATGTGGCATATCAGGTTCGCTCAACACTGTTACACCATTACTGACTATAGGTTGAAAACAAACTTCACCCGAACAGAATCTCACACTACTTCTATATGTTTTACAATAATTTAATGGTACTGGTTGGAAGATTCGACCGGAATTTGATAGAAAATTCTTATTACCTACATTGTGCCATATGTCCTCTGTTAAACAATGAATAATAATTTAATAATAACAATAATAACACTCTAATATCAGTTTGCTGAGTAACCTCCTTTATTTTTATCAACTATTCAATTTATGTAAATTTTTACAATAGAACCCTACTACTCTAGACATTCTATTTTTTTTCTAATTATAAATATATCCAAATGCTATAATCAACAATATCAACCCTATCAATGCATTATATTCATTTATTTCAAATTAATTCAATCATTTATTTCAAAGTAATTCAATCATTTTTTTCAAAGTAATTCAAACATTTACCTTTGTTTTTCTGTCTCATTTGTAACGTCCATTTAATATCAGGATACATATGTTTATATGCATTTGATATTGTCCAATGTGCCATGTAATAAGATGTTGATATTTGATAGTCAATATCCGACTCACAATCTGAGCTTGAATTCTGTGTCAGAAAGAAAAATGGCGTATATTCTTAAAGTGTTCTTAATTGAAGGTTTTATAGATAAATATTTGAAAACTGACAACACCAATAACTACATTGTATCACTATTAATACCTCCAGTATCAGTTCAATACATGTAATGTATTTTTCATGAACATAATTTTATGTACAATTAAAATTTAGAATTAAAACGCTAATAAAATAAATATTGTACTATTCTTAGCTTACTAATTATTAGGAAAATAGTTTACCTGTTGTGAATGGTGGTTTGGTAGTCAGGATAGTTTTTCTATGTTTGATATTATTATAAAATGTAAGAAAGTAATATGGTATAAGGATAGGAAAATAATGTTATGTTTTATTTGAAATAATTATCAACTGTGGAACTCGGATTTCAATTAGGAGTAAAATAGTTTTATAGCCATATTATAATCATGCATTGTACATTTTCAGTAGTACTTAATATCAAATACAAGGGATATAAATGTGACCCTTGCTGCCGGCCTACATCAACTATTGGTTTTATAAGCTGATATATAGTTGATGGCAAATGTTTATATCTACGAGGTAATCTGAATTTAAAGGAGCTAAGTCGCAAATATTTGGGACCTAGAAATTGACACAAATGGGTCGCAACGCATACAATAATGTAATACGAATGTATATAAATTGATTTACATTAAATCGTTTCTATTTTTACTGTAATTTCTAATCAGTTACGTTCGGCGAAATACGCCAGTATTCTCAATCGAATTTCAATCTCTCGCGTCTGGTTATTCCAGTCTACGCCGATAGTATTTATTGGGCATGCTCTCCAGATAAGAATATAGCGTCACCGTTTGACATGACCTGTGGAATATGCCTAGCCTTGGTTTTCAAGTCCCTTATTACAAATAGCGCTGAAACTCATTAAGGTAAAAGATTCGTGTACCAATTGTAAAATGTTTATTTTGTCTTTAAATATTGGATATCAGAAGGTCATCTTTTCCCGGTAAGATCACAACATCAATGTTGATTTAAACCGACAAATAAATCGTGTTTTCAATGTCGAAAATTTTGGATGATATTGAGTTAGAGACTTAGCTACTTTAATCATTAATACAGTATTTACGAGGTAATGCACATTTGTTAAAAATGTGGTTGTGAGGTAATCTTTATTCGTAAACACTGTAGCTATGAATAAGGCTGTTTATTAATTTACCCTTTTGCTGACAATCAGAGCCATCTTTTATCTGAACTTCATTATTCAGGTTAACATTTTTCTGAACTATAGTGATACCATTAGACGACGCCTTTGTTGTTCCGGCGTCACTCCTAGCTGTTACCGTTACAAAGTAAGTCTAAAAATAGTAACAATAATAATATTGACAGAATAATACCAATACATACAAATGTAGATTTCTTTATTTGTAAACGGGTCTGAACATGAGGCATCTTGAGCAATAAGGAGGTTTTCCTGACAAACGTGTATCTTGTAGCGTCTGTATACAATTGTTACATTAAAACATCCTACCTACCTTGTGCAGCTGTAAATTAAGCCCGAGAAACGTATGCTGTGTCTTACTGCCAACGTTTTCATCTTTTATATCAATAACGAGTGGTTGAGAGGCAACACCAATACTGTAAGTCATATGCTCGGCCATATCATCAGATTCAAACCCAAACCATCTTGCTTTTAATTTACTGGTTGATAGTTGAAAATTACTGTCTTCTAACTCCGAAAGGGAACATTATATAATTATAAACAAATGTGTTCCAATAGAGAAATACAACCGCAGATGAAAGCCTATGTTAGGTACTGTTATCAATACCAGCGCAAATGTTTACCATAAGACGGAAAAGTATTTTGTAATATCAGTTTAGTGGATTTTGAATACATGTTAGGTACTGTTATCAATACCAGCGCAAATGTTTACCATAAGACGGGAAAGTATTTTGTAATATCAGTTTAGTGGATTTTGAATACACGCTGCTACAAAAGTAAATGATCGAGTATTGACCAAAGACTAGACGGTTTCTTTAACTAGCTATGTAGGTTGCAATGTATGGGAAGAGTAATGGTCCAAGTTACCAAACGTGATTCGATATTATATTTAATTTTAACCAAGCTACCACACTGTCACAATACATCCAACTGTTGAAAACAGCTAACACAAAATTATGTGCATTAAACTATCTGTTCCATAGAAATGGATGCACATGCGTCTTGCAAACGAGTCCGTCATCAGCATATATGAAAAAGCTTACATTAACACCAAATTCATCTGCCTCATCAGTTAGAATAACTTCAAATACAACTCCCGTGGCTGGTTTTCTGGTATTATGAATATATGGATTAGATGTGAACACCCTGTGTAATCCAACTATATTCTCTACTCTTATAGATACATAGTAGGTAAAGCTGTGATGTAAATCCCAATGAAAATCCTCCATGGAAAAAGCTGTACAGGTTGGTGGGTTAGCTAGCATACAACTTCCGCCAGACGATAACGAAGAATACGGATACACGTCTTCGGTTCCTGGTGAACTACCTGTAAAATGAATACATTTTTTCTGTATATTCATGACAAAGAACAAACCTTTCGTTTTTCAGATCCGAATCCAATTTTATGATTGCTATTCACAAAGTAGAGTTCCGAATAGTTGCCAGATTTTACCCCATTCCCGATCACTATTAACTACTAATTGAAAATATTATCTTTTTTAAAAATCGGATTTTAGTGAAGGCAGCACTCATGCATAAACTTACCTACGGCCGCTGTAAAAGTAAGTTGCGACGACTCGGGATCAGATACAATTGCTGCTGACCAATCAGCCTCCAATATCTCATCCTCAAATTTAACCAATACCTCGCCACCAAGAGTAGGGGGATAGTATGAACTAGGATCGGGTCTAAACCCTGGAAAATAATTATAACATGTTTTATGGGTAACGTAAGTCTTATCAAAATATTCTAACTTTTTAAACTTTTTCAGAAAAATAAACCAATATTTGATTAAAGTACTAAAATCATAAACAAGCGCCACCAACCTGAACAGTTTCTTTTCCAGCTTTGTTAATTGCCTTAATACTGATGTAGAATTCTGTTCCATCACTTAGTTGTGGGTGGTAACCACGGTACCAAGAATGGTGATGGGTAAACGTAAATGGTAAAACGTCAGGGGCAGAAACTGAACTTTCAGCAGATGCTACACCAAATTCATAATTGTAAATTTCTGTATTCATCAAACTACCCTTAGCAGTCCAATTAACATACAACTGAAATAAAATTATTTTTTGTTATGTTCTTATCTTGGTTTTAGATTGTTAAGACCTATGTTAATAGGACTCAATCCGGTAAAGAGAATTCGATAACGATTTTTTTACTGCGTTTGTGATGTAGTCTCATTTACTAGAGATGTGATCAGAATGTCTCCCAATTCCGAAAATGATCACGCGGTTCCCGGAATCAGCTTTATCTTACCAGACAATGTATTATACCGACTGCTATTCGTCCATATTATGAATAAAGACTAAAATTATACAACGTAATGGCCCCTTCTAGACCGGGCGCCTGCTTCAGTTAATCATACTAAGAGAGGGAAATTGTCTGATAGGGCATAATTGTTTGTCAATGCCTACTAGTCAAACATCGGGATTGCTGCCGGGAATTAACCTGCCAATTTAGGTGGTGTGGGGGCCTAAAGGGAGCCCATTTTCACTTTTAATCATACTTTGGTAGGGATGGACAATTTTGATAATATTTAATATATAGGTAATACTGAGTCGAAAAACACCATTGACAGCAACTTTTTGTTGACAGTGACCTTGGACAGCAAAGGTCAAGTGCTGTCCAAAATTCATTTATTCATACTAAGTGAGGGATGGCTAAAACTTTTTGAATATCATTCATTAGAGGGATGGCTAAAACTTTTTGAATATCATTCATTAGACGGTTCCAAACATTCCTACATCATTGCCAGCAATTTCACACTGACCGGAAGTGGCGACAGTGACAGTTAAATACCACAACATGGCATCAGGTATGAGGCATCAGATATAATCATACATTGAGAGGGATGGCTGATTTTTTTACACAATGTTAAAATATGTATATACACTACAAAAATACAAATGACAGCAATTTTACACTGACCGGAAGTTTCGCCAGTGATGATTACGTTATAGGCCCCATCCTCAGATATAATCATACATTGAGAGGGATGGCTGATTTTTTTACACAATGTTAAAATATCGCCAGTGATGATTACGTAATAGGCCCCATCCTCAGATACAATCAAACATTGAGAGGGATGGCTGATTTTTTTACACAATGTATATACACTACAAAAATACAAATGACAGCAATTTTACTCATTTGTATTTGTATTCAAAAAGTTTTAGCCATCCCTCACTTAGTATGAATAAATGAATTTTGGACAGCACTTGACCTTTGCTGTCCAAGGTCACTGTCAACAAAAAGTTGCTGTCAATGGTGTTTTTCGACTCAGTATTACCTATATATTAAAAATTATCAAAATTGTCCATCCCTACCAAAGTATGATTAAAAATGAAAATGGGCTCCCTTTAGGCCCTCACACCACCTAAATGGGCAGGTTAATTCCCGGCAGCAATCAAGATGTTTGACTAGTAGGCACTGACAAACAATTATGCCCTATCAGACAATTTCCCTCTCTTAGTATGATTAACTGAAGCAGGCGCCCGGTCTATTCAACTCTACGGGTTGCCGGGTGATTAATTAGGGCATAATAAACTCGCAAATCTATATATTATATGTTATTGTGTTTATCGCTCTGTCATCATTAGCCTACTCGGAACAGAACAGTAGGGCGTTAAACCTCATTTGTATTAATTATGTAGACGACTATTCATGGGTTAATGACATGCTCTGTTGAGGGGTGTTCAAATTCCGAATTCACCTCTGAACGAGAAACAGAATATACTCACATGAGAATGCATTGCAAGATACATCTTTGAAAAAAATACATCTGTCATTAGGTTTTCATCACAAAACATATTCGCCGGATATGTATGTATTGTACCATTGGAAAACCGCTCAATGGGAAAAAGATCGGTATCATCAACCGTTTTGGCTTTTCTCCTGAAATATATTGATCTATTCTGTTACAATAACATTCTCTTCGTTTAATTTAGGAATAGGTCGGGGCTAGGATTCGTTTGGAGTGAATACATGTAGGTTACTTTTACCTCATTTATAAAGATTTACTAGCAAGTTAATTATTCCAACGGAATCTTGTGTTGTCTTTAACTTGCATGTGTAAACAATATAACATGTTATTATGTCTTTATTTCCAAGCTTGATAATATTTAATTTGACCTTCTAATGCACACAATTGATCTCAGTCATCTACTGTTTACTCGATGACTAACAGTCATTGTTACTTATTGATATTTAGTAGATCCTTATCCATTTTGTATTGTAAAATAGTTTAATTTGTCTTGTAGATATAAATATGGAGATATTATCAGACTAGGCTTTTTGTCCGCTGAGAATTTACATTAGTTGAAAAGGTATCCATGGGTTCGGTTACTATACAAAACGATTTATTTTAATGAATCATATTAACAAGCGGCTGCCAGGCAGGATACGCCCAGATTTTGCAAGAGATTGATAGAGAACAAGCTAAAAAAAAGATTTTTCGTACAATCAAGGGCCATAATTCAGGAATTTACGATCCGATATGCGCGAATATCGAAAGGAACCAAGATCTTTGGGTTACAAAGATATATATCAAGTTCAATAAAAAACAGATCACCAGTGGCTGCCGGGCAGGATACGACCACATTTTGCAAGAGATGGATAGAGAACAAGCTAAAATCAAACGGGATTTATTGTACAGTCAGGGGCAATAATCCAAATATCAAAAGAGACTGAGATCTTTGGGATATAAAGATATGTTTTAAGTTTCATCAAAATTGGATAAAAATTGTGACCTCTAGAGGGTCCACAACCTTAATATTGCATGCTTTTACACAATTTGCGTACAAAGAGCGGCTATTTTGTCGGACAGTTCCATTTCGAATTTTCCCTAAATTCGAATCCAACCGTAATTATGGTGGAATGGTGATATATTTAAACGGTTTTTAAAATCGGAAAAAAATGTGACCTCTAGAGAATCCGCGAGCTAAAAGTGCGATTTTTCGAACAATCAGGAGCCACAATCCAGGAAATTACGTTCGGATATGCGCGATTATCAAAAGGAACCAAGATCTTAGTGTGTAATGGTGATATATTCACATGTTTTTTTTTTTAAATCGGATAATTAAAATTGTGACCTCTACAGGAACCGCAAGCTAAAAACGTAATTTTTTGTACAATCAAGGGCCATAATTCAGGAAGTTAGGATGCGATACGCCCGAATATCGAAAGGAACCAAGATCTTTGGGTAACAAACATGTATTTCAACTTTCATCAAAATCTGATCAAAATTGTGACCTCTAGAGGGTCCAGAACCTTGATATACCAGAGGCTATACACTATTTGCGTACGAGGGACAGCCATTTTGTCCGGCAGTTTTAGTCCGGGATTCATGAAATTCGAATTCCACAAACATCACAGTGTAACGGTGATATTTTCGAACGTTTTGATAAATCGAATAATAATTGTGACCTCTAGAGGGACCACAAGCTAAAAACGCGATTTTTCGTACAATCAGGGGCCATAATTCTGATACATGCCAATAACGAAAGGAACCGAGATTTTAGGGAGATAAAACTACATGTCTAGTTTCATTGAAATCGGATAACCATTGTAACCTGTAGAGTGTCCACAAACAATTGTGGACGGACGTCCGGACGGACAGGGGCGACGAAAATATACGTCCACATGAAAATGTTGGCCTTTTAAAAATGTACAGTCCTGTTACTAATAATGGCGTGAATATATGAAACTATAAGAGACGAATGTAAAACGGAAAGCTGCAATTGTAAATATTTTATTTACGATCTCAATTAATGAGATAACTAGTATTTTAAATACATGGATACAAGAAATTTAACGTTATATTTTTAATATACGAAAATGACTTAAATTAAAGATTGCACTTACATACAAGCTGCATCTGGGTCTTTAAGTAAATATTTGCGTCTTGTATTTGATATATAATATACTTGAATATTTTCTTTTATTAAACCACCTTTAATTCTAGCCCCTTCTATGTCTATTTCACTTATGGTAGGTAATGTTCTATCTACAACTACTCCATCAGAACAAACTGGTATAGATACTTCTAAGGCTCGGTTATATGCTACCACGGTGATGTAATATTTACCATCAGACAGTGCTGTCCAAGAAGCATGCGTAGATGTAGTCTGTTGTATATCCTGGAATTATAATAGTATGAGATGAGCCCTTATAAACGTCCTACCATAAAAAGGATAAATCTTACCACGGACAAATACAATTACTTTGAAAAAGATTCATTTCAGTTGTTTCATTTCATTTGCTTAGATTACCTGTCTATTTGCAAGATTCAGATGAAATTTATTGGCATCCAAACAAGAGGTGGAAAACCCATGCTGATAAAATTTCACTCCACTCTCTCTATCAAAGAAACCTTCCCAGTGTGCAAATAGTTCTAAATCTGGCTGAAAGTCTACTTCCGGTGTACCATATTTACCGTCATGCACCATCCCTTGGTGGGGTGGACTAGCATCAATTGTTATCTGAAATTAAACGAGATTATAACGTAAAGACGCAATTAATAATTAATATATACCAGATGTAACTCTATATAGTGATGTAGGTCTGTATAGTTAGTTTGATAAATCCAACATGACAATGCTCCTTGACAAATTAAATTATTCTAAATATAAAAAGGCAGTCACCCTACAAAGGTAAATTTGTTGTCATAATATATTCATAACTATGTTACACTGTTTATTTATCACGTAATAATAATAAATCCAAAATGAAGCAAAGAAGAATGTAGAGTGTGAAACATTATTATGTATATTTGTGATTAAAACTCCATATTGAAAATCTAATACATGCCTGTTTAGATAGAGTTGTTTTTAATTTAGCTTGGTTCATAACAGTAACCACGATACGATAATCATGATCATGCGTACCAGTACTTTTAATGTTTAAGATGCCTTCTCCGGGTGTAGCAGTCGTAGGTGGTTTTATTTGAAAATGAAGATGATAACATGTGCTAGTAGGAATGCAATAACAATTGGCTCCTCTGGCATTATTAGAATATTTACTTTGGCATTCTCTAATGTTCTGAAAGATAAAATCAATACAAAGTAATTAATAGTAGTCACGGAGGACTGGTGCATAAGGAGTTGTCTCCCCTGTTGCACTGTGGGATTGCCGCCCCCCCCCCCCTCTTTTTAACTAATATTTTGAAGTACAAAATATTGTTTAATCTTTTATGAAGAGTTAAGAATTTAATTAGCAATTCACGAGAAGATATTCACGCAGTTTCCCTATTGGTATATAAAACCTTTCTTTCATTATCGCATAATTACCGTTGTTTCTCCTTGCGGTG